AAGGGAAATGAACGAGCAGACCAACTGGCAAGCCCTGCACTAAGGATTGCGGGAAAAAGCATGGACGGAGCAGATGTCGTCAACGGACTGTACGGACTGGGCTCGTGGATAATAAGGAATCCCTGACACTAACACGATTGCGTGACATGGGAGTAAAGCATGGTAAAGTACACCTATGCCGTCTTCGAGGCAGAGATAGGAGACAATGTATACAGCTTCTCATAGGAACAGTTAGTAGAAATACTTTGAAGTGGCTGCTGTATCAGAGGATTGAGCACGCATGGGAATGCCCAATGTGTAGTGGCGTCGATTTTGATAACATAACATAAGATATAACTCAACATTTACAAGGTACAGTACCATAGTAAATTAGCCTTCAGTACGACAAATTTACGACCAGAAATATGTAAATGTACACAGTTGGCAAACGTATCTAACATAACTGTTAACAGCACCCTTAACAGCACCCTTAACAGCACCCTTAACAGCACCCTTAACAGCACCCTTAACAGCACCCTTAACAGCACCCTTAACAGCACCCTTAACAGCACCCTTAACAGCACCCTTAACAGCACCCTTAACAGCACCCTTAACAGCACCCTTAACAGCACCCTTAACAGCACCCTTAACAGCACCTTTAACAGCACCCTTAACAGCACCCTTAACAGCACCCTTAACAGCACCCTTAACAGCACCCTTAACAGCACCCTTAACAGCACCTTTAACAGCACCCTTAACAGCACCCTTAACAGCACCCTTAACAGCACCCTTAACAGCACCTTTAACAGCACCCTTAACAGCACCCTTAACAGCACCCTTAACAGCACCCTTAACAGCACCTTTAACAGCACCCTTAACAGCACCCTTAACAGCACCCTTAACAGCACCCTTAACAGCACCCTTAACAGCACCCTTAACAGCACCCTTAACAGCACCCTTAACAGCACCCTTAACAGCACCCTTAACAGCACCTTTAACAGCACCCTTAACAGCACCCTTAACAGCACCCTTAACAGCACCCTTAACAGCACCCTTAACAGCACCCTTAACAGCACCTTTAACAGCACCCTTAACAGCACCCTTAACAGCACCCTTAACAGCACCCTTAACAGCACCTTTAACAGCACCCTTAACAGCACCCTTAACAGCACCCTTAACAGCACCCTTAACAGCACCTTTAACAGCACCCTTAACAGCACTTTTTACACTGTGGATTTAACAAATTTTGCTTAGTATCTTAGTCAGGTAAAGTTACAGGTGCGAGGATCGACTTGACTGCACATTTCCAGACATGACTTTGGCTCCCAGGTCGACCCTGCCTTAAATAGGTACCAGGTAAAATCCTGGGGAGTAAAGGCAGCAGGCGTGATGTTGACATCACTCACCGAGTGCCGATTGGCCTATAAAATATAGGTCTAGCCCAATGCACCTGAGGGCGCAGAAGAGGGTCCTTTATGGGCTCTCTTTAGGACAGTAGAGAAGTTTAGTCTAGAGACACCGAAAGGTGCTAACATATAGTTAGTTACTAGATGAGCTATTTTAACCGTCTGACGACAAAGCCCTGTTACCAACTGCCACGACGAGCCAAAATGAATAAATTTATCAAAGACAGAGGAAGGGTGGGCCGAGAAAAAAAAAAGGGGGGGGGAGGTGGATGAGGGGGGAGAGGATGAGGAGGGGGAAGAGGATGAGGGGAGGATGAGGGGGGGGGAGAGGATGAGGGGGGAGGATGGGGAGAGGATGAGCACATAAATTAAGACGATTATATTCAATGCAATAAAAAGATACAAGTTGCAATCTGAAGGAGCCACTTTATTGCTTTAGGTTTCATTTCATATAGTTCAATCTTTCTCCCCAAAACAAATAGCCGCCTGCCAAGATCGTCGCACACAGCACGAGCTCCATAACCCAGCCACGATCCCCAGGCACTCGTGAACTGAACAACACAGCTCATGAAACGAACCCACGACCTTGGGAGAGGGAGACAAATGTCTTCAACTCTTCACCTCGGAGCTTCCTTTCCCTTCTACTGCCATCCCCCATAATTAGAAACAGCACGCATATAACCATTATACCGCCTATCTCTCCAACATACACACATATTTCTCCAAGGACACGGAAGGACGATGGAAGATTTACCGGGCTAATGCTCTCAGGGAGGCAAGGGGCGAGTAGCTGATTCAGGAAACGGAGGGGAATCTAGAACTATGACAAGACTACAAGAATCTTATGTCAAAAGAGATGTTGCCAGATAGTAATACCGCAGAGGTAGCTAAGGAACAAAGATAGAGAGCCGGCCGAGACAGGCAATGCAATGGACACCACAGGGACAGCGAGGAAGAGGCAAGCCCAGAGACACTTGGAGGCGAACCTTTGAGGCTGAACTTAAGGATATGCGAAGGAGAAAACTGCAGAATAGTGGCTCAGGATCGAGCTGAGTGGCGACAGTTTGTCTCTGCCTAATGTGCCTCTGGGCGCGATGAGTTCAGCCAAAGAAAAAATAGAAAACCAGCACAACGCTTGGGTTATTAGTGACCAGATTCTATCAGTATCAGTTCTGGTTATGCCTAGTGGCACATGAGGCTTCAGAGAGGACTTTCCATGCTTTTCCTGTCCTGCGCAATCTTCAGTGCAGTTTTCCATGTCAAAGATGCCAGACTCAGGTCACTTTCCATCGTTCGTCTCCATGTTGTTTTTTGGGCGCCCCTTTTTTTTTTCTTTCCCTCTGGTATCCATGTGAGCCAGATTCTAAAGATGCTATTATTTCGATTAACCGAAACAGGAAAACTAATCTTGTTTATTAGGGATTCAATCGTGAACTTCTCGCTCCTTGATGAGGCATATTATATGGTTATTTTCGCGGAAATTACATACCCCCATTCGAAGCTCACGCTTGTGCTCATCTTTTTGTCTTCAAGAACCCACGACATGTGTCCGGCGAAATGAAAACATCTTTCAGCTATTATTTCAAGCACCATTTTTCACTTTGGCCTATTTCACTGCCGGAATTAAAGTGATTCTTATCGTCGACAACTAGCAGATATAGGCCAGGTTGCCTTTCTAGATTTGTGTGTATTTGGTTCCACTTCCCTGAAGAAGGGCCAGTGGGAGTGTCTTTGGGCGGATCCTAATTCAGATTTCAGAATGATCTGGCGAATGCTTCCATTCATGGCTGGACAAAAGCTTCTAGCCATCACAAAACTGACCTGCTCGATGATCACAAGTCTCAAAGACATAACTAGAAGACTGAAACATTTGTCACTGCCGATGACCTACTTTCATGTTAATTGACGTGTTCGCTTTAAAGAGAGGAGAACTGGAACAAACCCAGAGGTACTTATTCTTTCCATGTCTTTTATGGGCGTCAATCAATACCCTCTGAATTTTATTTGAAAGCTAGCGAAAACCAATTCAACCGCATTGTGAAAATTTTAAATGATCTAAAAAATAAAAGAGACAAATTTACAAATAATGGTACCAGGTTGGTCAATCGCAAGAGAAAATGCTAAAAAAAAAGCAGATGGGGTTTTTAAGAAGACTGAGAATGACAAGCATGAATGAAATAAAATAAAGAAAACTGTTCTTCTAGTGGTGCAGATCTGAGACAGACAGACAGACAGACAGACAGACAGACAGACAGACAGACAGACAGACAGACAGACAGACAGACAGACAGACAGACAGACAGACAGACAGACAGACAGACAGACAGACAGACAGACAGACAGACAGATTGTGCAGCCGGTATACTTTTCCGGTGCCCATGGAGTTCACAGTAGGCACATGAAGGGAGACTTTTTTTTTAATGAAACCACATTTTTAGACAGAAAAACGATACTGGATATGTATTACATACTCTCTACTTTGTGTGTACAGCAAAACTGTTTTCGATAAGAACATCACAGACACCATTGAAGCACTTTATAAGGATGCAAGCATTGCAGTACTCATTCACAAAATGTTTGGAAATTATTGCCAAGGAAGCAAGATTCGGATAAAAAGCCACAATAATGAAGTACCTACCAACATACAGATAAGAGGAAGGGTCGGGAATGGCGGGGTGGGGGGGGGGGGTGGGGGGGCGTGGGAATGGGGGGAGGGCGGAAAACTGGAAGTTGAAACCTGTAAATATTTTGGTTTTTAATGGCTGCTATACCAAAGAGATCATAAAAGACTTTATAAAGGTAAAGGTAAAGTCTGGAGATGTGAACCAGCGTCATTGCACACGTTTATAAACCATAAGTGCTCTGCCACCAGTACGGACAGCTGATAAGAATTGTCCGCCTGTGTCGCCGTTCGAACTTAACTCTGTAGCTACAGCGACGTTCACCCATTTACCCCAGAGTGTCAACTCTGGTACCCATTTCCTAGAGGCTGGGTGAACCCCGAGAGCCGCCCGGTTAGACAAGACTTGATATGGTCGCGAAGTCGCAGCTGACTACGATGCGGAAGAGAAAAAATCAGTCAAGGTCAATATTTACAAATGATTGGTATTGGACTCTCGCTGTGGAAATAAATGGAAAGGAGGATTCAGGCTTTCGAATGTAAACGCTATAGACACATTTTGCGAATTAGTTATTTATTATGTAAGACTAATAAATAGGCCAGAGATTAAAAATTCAAACTTCATAGACTGTGCTTCAAGGAACACTGGGGGAGGGGTGGGGAGAGAGAGAGGGGGGGGGGGGGGGAGGGGAGTAGTCGAGGAAGAGGAGGGCAAAGAAGAATTGAAATGACAACATTAAAAAATGGACACGATAAGTTTTTATAAACTCATTCAACAAGCGGAAGACAGACAAGAATGGCGGGTTATGTTATGTTGTGTTATGTTATGTAATGTTATCTCAACTATAATTATTGTTTTCAGCTTATTATAGTCAATCTATTATTAAATTTAGTGCCTCCGTATACTGTTTACCAGATTACGAGACTAATCATTATTTGTCAGTTGGAAAACATAAACAACAACACCGACGGAAAATTAGCTATGGACAACTGAATTAAGCTGCATACATTACTGCAGACATTACTGCATACATAACCGCAGACATTACTGCATACATTACCGTAGACATTACTGCATACATTACTGCAGACATTACTGCATACATTACCGCAGACATTACTGCATACATTACCACAGACATTACTGCATACATTACTGCAGACATTACTGCATACATTACTGCAGACATTACTGCATACATTACCACAGACATTACTGCATACATTACTGCATACATTACCACAGACATTACTGCAGACATTACTGCATACATTACTGCAGACATTACTGCATACATTACCACAGACATTACTGCATACATTACCACAGACATTACTGCATACATTACCGCAGACATTACTGCAGACATTACTGCATACATTACTGCAGACATTACTGCATACATTACCACAGACATTACTGCATACATTACCACAGACATTACTGCAGACATTACTGCATACATTACCACAGACATTACTGCATACATTACCGCAGACATTACTGCATACATTACTGCAGACATTACTGCATACATTACTGCAGACATTACTGCATACATTACCGCAGACATTACTGCATACATTACCGCAGACATTACTGCATACATTACCGCAGACATTATTGCATACATTACTGCAGACATTACTGCATACATTACCGCAGACATGACTGCATACATTACCGCAGACATTACTGCATACATTACCGCAGACATTACTGCACACATTACCGCAGACATTACTGCATACATTACCGCAGACATTACTGCATACATTACCGCAGACACTTCTGCATACATTACCACAAACATTACTGCATACATTACCACAAACATTACTGCATACATTACCGCAGACATCATTAGATGCATGTGTTATGTACGCAGCAAACAGTGTTGTTTGTGTGTATTGATGAGAATGATTCGAACACACCTGAGGTTTTAAGCTTGAAATTTGCACTCGTGGAATAATGACCGACTTAACAGCAGACACATCGAGGGAAACAGAAATAAAAATATCACGATCTCAAACTCACCAGGTTCCATCCAAACACCACATTGTGGTCACTGCAAAACGCCTCCTGCTAATGTTTTATAACAGAGGTGACCCACTGAGATTCATCGTTCTTCTTGATGTATGATTAGTGTTCACAGAAGGGTCCGCGTGGTCTCGAGGCATGGTGTCCGCCTCGAGTGCTAGAGGTTCCGGGTTTAATCCTCGGTAAGAGCTAGAATTTTTTTTGTTTTCACGTGGACTTAGAATTCTAACAATCTCTCTCTGAGTAGTGAGATCAGACGTCCGTGTGCATTGATGTGCACTTAAAAAATGCCTTTGCAGTTGGAAATTGAAAAGAGTAGCCTAACAACGCTGCCTGTGCAAAAATGTGGATTAAAAAATATATCCAAGTTATTTTAGGATCCTCACCGGTGCTACAGAGCCCGTGCACTGTGCTTAGCTTCTTCGGACTCAGACTTGAGTTAGAAAAAAGAACAGAGCACGTATGTGTTACTACCCGTGTGCTATAATGTTGATCCGTTGTTCAAACCTCAAACCTCAAGGTCATGGATTATGAAACGTGAAAATAATCCATGAGAGATATTGCTTCAGGGATGGTAGTGTTAGCTATTGGCAGAATGAGAAATAAAACTATCAGACAGATTCTATGGAAGACTAACACAGTCAACAAATGCCAGCAGAAGTCAGACGTGTTGGCCAAAAGGCGCAAATATCGCAGCGATACTGTGAACGGACACACACAACTACATCTTCGGATGATCGCAGAAGAAGAAGAAAAGTAGTGGGACGCTCAGAGGCAAACATAAAAAAATGTCTTTGACGAGAATGATGATGGTGATAATGATAATAATGATGATGATCAAAGAGAAGAATTCGACTTTTGAACTTACATATTCCTGGTGAAATCGTCGATACATTCTATCTTAAAAACAAAGAAATAAAAAGCAGTTAACTTTCTAGCAGAAGTGAGCAAGTCTTAGTTCCGGGCCGTATTATAGGGAAAACAAAAATAGACCCACTGCCTAAACAAAAGCATGTCGTAAGAGACTAATTCAAATCTTCCTTAGAAGTCAGAGTGCATCGGCCTGAGAGGCAAGGAGTTAACAGTTTGCATACAAATTAGTCAGATATGTCAAACGGATGTACGCGCAACACTCAGGTTGTGGAAGAGGACAGCAGTCCAGAAGTGGACAAACAACCAGAATTGTCCACTTGAGTTTACAGCCGGTAAACGCGCAAAAAGAAGAGGATTCTAGCAGAAGTGAGCAAGCAAAGTATCATTGTATCTAGGACAGGAGATTCTCTAAACACTAACAGCGTCTGGTAGGGCCGAATGTAAGACAAGAGTGGGTGCCTAAATTTGTGGCCCTTTGAAAATAAAGTTCGTTTGTTCGCTCGTTTCTAGAAATCAAGCTACGGGACAGTCTTGGAAGATTTTGGTCGGTGCCGGTCACACGACCATCTGATTGTGAACCTTGGAGGAGGCTTGATGAATGGCAGGACATGGGTAGCGACAGACAGACAGGCAGACAGAAGGAGAGACACATGTAACGTGATGAGCAGAGAGAATTCAAACGACTACGCATATGTGTGTGTGTGTGTGTGAACGCTTCGTAATGCCGGGGTGCCGGGTTCGATCCCAGCTGCAGGCCATGCGCCTTGCGTTGGTTTCGACAGTGGTATCAGCTAGCCGGCCCTCCAGTAAGCAATGACAAACTACTGGACGTAATTTTGCCTAGAGAAACCACACAACAGTCAGGGGCTGCTGCTGTTGGTTCTGCAACGTCCTGTAAGGGATACGCAAGTAACCATGTGTGTGTGTGTGTGAATATATGAAGAGAGAACCAGTGTGTGATATTGATAGGGAGCGACGGCGAGATTTGGAGAGATGGTATGAAGAGAGACCACTGGATCAAACGTTACAACCTGAATATTTCATAAAACTATTTGCTTTTGTATGGGTTAAACACAGCCCTGTCACGGGGCCTTTTCCCTCCTCCGACAACCACGCGACTGTCATGGCTACCTGAGAGACATTGTATAAACGACACGTACAATTGCAGACTATCGCCCATTATGTTTTCACGGAAATGGGCTCTAATTTTAGTACCCGGGACGGACCAGGTAACGCCTGTAGGGTTCTATTTGTGGCGACTGTTAAATGGGAGAGTTAGCACTCAAAAGCAAATGAGTGGGGCTCATATTTGTCAGTGTCAGCTCAGGAACAACGGCCAAAAGAGAAATCCAAAGAGGATAAATTAGAGGGCTTATGGTTCGTTATAAAGTAAAGCTGATGGACGGAGATGTCATTTTGGACTAGCAGCTTTCATCACGACTGACAATCACTCGTCATACACAGAATACAGGAAGTTGCAGTGAGCTCCCCTTGCTGACAGGATCGTACCTTCCCAATGTGTCCTTTATGGGGATGGTTGTACTAATTGGTTGTCTGTGTCAGAACCGTGGTTCGAGTCTTCATACTGCTGTCATATTTGGCTAGTTTGTCTCTCGGGGTACAAGAATGTTCATCTGTCGCTTTTGGTGATTTATTGACAGGTGATTTTTTATTAAGTACTGCTGTTGTTTCAATAGATTAGTGTCTATATACTCATCCTGCTTCTCCTTCTTCATCTTCTTCTTCTTCTTTTTTTTTTCTAGTTCTCCTTTTCCTCTTCCTCTTCTTCTTCTTCTTCTTCTTTTTCATCTTCATCTTCTTCTTCTTCTTCTTCTTCTTCTTCTTCTTCTTCTTCTTCTTCTTCTTCTTCTTCTTCTTCTTCTTCTTCTTCTTCTTCTTCTTCTTCTTCTTCTTCTTCTTCTTCTTCTTCTTCTTCTTCTTCTTCTTCTCCTTCTTCTTCTTCTTCTACTTCTTCTTCTTCTTCTCCTTCTTCTTCTTCTTCTACTTCTTCTTCTTCTTCTTTTTTTTTCTTCTTCCTCTTCTTCTTCTTCTTCTTCTTCTTCTTCTTCTTCTTGTTCCTCTTCTTCTCCTTCTTCTTCTTCTTCTTCTTTTTCTTCTTCTTCTTCTTCTTCTTCTTCTTCTTCTTCTTCTTCTTCTTCTTCTTCTTCTTCTTCTTCTTCTTCTTCTTCTTCTTCTTCTTCTTCTTCTTCTCCTCCTTCTTTTTCTTCTCCTCCTTCTTCTTCTGAGAGGAGAACATAGGCAGTGTTTTAATGAGGTTGCAACTGCTGCTATTAGCGTGTCGATTCTTTGTTGACTGCTGAAGTTGGGGACAGAGCCGGCGTGAAAATGAAGCAATATTTCTTGATTCATTCATTCATTTCTCTATGTCCACCTTTCCCTACACCCCCTCCTGGTTGTCCTTTTCCTCCTCTTCGTATTTCTTCCTCTTCCTTCTCCTCCCTCTCCTACTCTTCTTCACCTTTCTCCTCTTAAATTTAAATAAAAGAAAGAAAACATTTTGCATTTAAAAAAAAAAAAAAAAAAAGCAATTTACGGTTGGAGTCTTGATGAATGTATGATACATACTGCTTATTTACTCCTGTCGGCAACACATAGATGATACAATCAATATTCTACCGGCCCACTTTACATTCAATAGAAAGAAATATTGAGACTTAACCTAATCCCACACTGAATCCCCCAACCTGTCCTATCTCTCCCTACAGCTCCTTCAACATGTTTGACAAACTCACCCACCATTGCGTGTGATTCTGCCTCTATGTTTGTTTCTTGTTCGCTCTTTCATTATTTATAGTACATCTGTTCATCACAACTGGCTGGTATGGGTTGCTTTCAATTTGTGAAAACCTGCTCTTTGGTTTTCTGCGATTGACTGCTGCGATCTTAGACACCACTTGTGTAACACACTAGTTCAGGATTATTATTGTGTTTGGTTTTCCTGTCGCGCGTATAACATTTCATCGAGATCATTTTACTTGGTGTCTGTTGGGGCAATGATTCTTGATGTTTCATTCGTTGATACAGATTTTAGAGGAAGTTTTGTTTGTTGGTTTGTTTAGCTATCTTCAGGAACAACCCTTACCGCCCACACATAATTTATATACAATAATACCTTAGGGTTGGCTGCTTAGCCCTCTGCTTCACCCACCACATTCCCCCACTCCCGGTTTGTTCCAGAAAATGTTCGCGGGCCTAGGTGTCCGCACTTGCTATGTATTGACGATCTGATTTCAAATATTTGATTGAACATTTCATTTGATTTCTGAAGTATTCTTACATTTGCCATCAGCACAAAATAATAATAATAATAATAATACTAATAATAATAATAATAATAATAATAATAATCACACAATACAACACGAGTTAAGCTTTCTTGAGTCCCCCCACCTCTAAATCACTACTTTTTCCCTTCAAAATAATCAAACCTGCCAG